GGCCAATCTCTGTGCTCCCTGCTGGCAGCTCTCAGGTGACAGCCCCCATTCTTTAGGTGTGTCCTTGGCCCATTGAGAGCTATTGTCCCACAGGGCCTCACTAATTAGCATGTCCACAGGCCCGGCCCTGCCCAATGCTCAACCACATGCAGGGAAATCTTCAGTATCCATACAAGTACATGCTAATAATTGCACACACAGACATTCTGCAAACACATGAACAGCGTATATAGGACTATCAGACAGTAAGCTTCTAGTCAGCACCTCACATGGCCCCCTTTTATACCATTTCTGGGGCCAACGCCCCCACCTATGGGTGCATCAGTGATCTGGCTGCTCCCCTCAAAATCCAGTAATGTGACACTGGTGTAGGGGACTCCCTGCCCTCCTGGCAGCCTGCCCCCGACGTGGAACTGGGGAAGGGAGCTAGTGGGTGCTGGGGCAGCGAACAGGGTGCTGGGGGGGCAGGGGTCTGCGGCTGGGGGCAGGGGAGAGGGAACAGGGGGGCAGGAAGTCCCCTACACCAGCCTCGGAGGGAAGCCTTTGTTGCGCGCTCTCTCTGGGGCCGAACCTCCCCCCCACGGAGGAAGGAAGCCCCGTCGCGCGCCTCCACTGGGCCTGACCACCCCCACCCCCTTGCAGATCAGGGAAGCCTCCGTCGCGCACCCTCTCTGGGCCTGACTCCCGCCTCCCGCAGAGAAGGGAAGTCCCAGCGCACCTCTGGGGACTTACCCGGTAAGCTCCCGGAATGCCAGGGAGCTGGGGCAAGGAAGCAGCCAGTGCATTTCCGGAACCCCTGGTAGCGACACGCAGCTGTAGGACTTCCATCCACCCCGCGGGAAGCTGCCACTACCTCCATTGTTGCTCGGGGTAGCATTAATGGGGAGCAGGTTTAAAACTAATAAAAGAAAGTTCTTCTTCACACAGCGTGTAGTCAACCTGTGGAACTCCTTGCCAGAGGAGGCGGTGAAGGCTAGGACTATAACAGAGTTTAAAGAGAAGCTAGATAATTTCATGGAGGTTAGGTCCATTAAAGGCTATTAGCCAGGGGATAAAATGGTGTCCCTGGCCTCTGTTTGTCAGAGGCTGGAGAGGGATGGCACGAGACAAATCGCTTGATCATTGTCTTTGGTCCACCCTCTCTGGGGCACCTGGTGCTGGCCACTGTCGGTAGACAGGATACTGGGCTAGATGGACCTTTGGTCTGACCCAGTATGGCCGTTCTTATGCTCTTCTGAGGTAGGTAGTGGGGCTTCTTGGGGATGGGGGAAAATAGGGGGCCCAGAACGCCTCAGGATCGACCAGTTGATTGCGATTGACTGGTTGGTGACCATGGCTCTAGTGCATGGGCTAAGAGCCACTGGCTGGTAGCTAAAGCTGTAGAGCAGACTCGTTATTTCCTCTGTAAGCAGTCCCAGTGTCACTAGATGAACTGAAAAACGTCAGTGTTACACTCTCATGAACTGAAAAACTTCAACATGGATTGATGACGGGTTAAGGCAGGAAACAAAGGGTAGCGAGAGTCAGTTCTCCAAATGGAGAGAGGGAACTAGAGAAAGGGGCAAACAGTGAGGGGCACAGTTTGCAGATGAGACCGAACTGCTCACTCCAGAGAGTTCAGACCAAAGCAGACTGTGAAGAGCTTCAAAAGGATCTCACCAAGCTAAGTGACTGGATAACAAAATGTCAGATGAATTTTAATGTTGATAAAAATGCAAAATAAAAAACATTGGAAAAAATAATCCCAACTATAGATCTAAAATGATAGAGACTAAATTAGCTGTTACCATTCAAGAGAGAGATCTTGGAGTCACTGTGGATAGTTCTCCACAAACATCCGCTCAATGTGCAGCGGCAGTCAAAAAAGCAAACAGAATGTTAGGAGTCATTAAAAAACAGATAGGGTGTGTCTACACTTGCCCCCTACTTCGAAGTAGGGAGGCAAATGAAGCATACCGAAGTTGCAAATCAAGCCCAGGATTTAAATATCCCGCGCTTGATTTGCATGTTCCCGGCCGGTCGCAATTTTAGAAATTTACTAGCCTGGAGTAAATGCCCGCATCTACACATGGCAGTGAAACGGGAGTCCAATTTAAAGCCCCTAATTTGAATTAGCTGGTAAACCTCATTACAAGAGGAATAAGAAGGAATAAGAAGATTTTGGAACATTTTTATCCTTTTACCCTGCAGCGTCAGTGTGTAAATCCCTCCAGTGCAGCATGAAGGCAGGAGAAACACCTTGTAGCACTTGGGGTGTGTCTAGATTGCAGGGCTCCGGCGCCATGGAAACTGGTTTACCCGGCATAGGCAGGGATTTAAATAATCCCGCTTCATTAAAATAAACATGGCCGCCGCGCCGTGCCGACGATCAGCTGATCCGGTCGGGGGCTCAGGCTGGGGAACCCTTTGCCAACTGATCCCGTATGCCTTGTGAAACGAGGTTTAATCCCGCTTAATTAAAATAAACATGGCCGCCGCGCCGTGCCGACGATCAGCTGATCCGGTCGGGGGCTCAGGCTGGGGAACCCTTTGCCAACTGATCCCGTATGCCTTGTGAAACGAGGTTTACAGGATCGGTCGGCAAAGGCTTCCCCAGCCTGAGCCCCCGACCGGATCAGCTGATCGTCGGCACGGCGCGGCGGCCATGTTTATTTTAATGAAGCGGGATTATTTAAATCCCTGCCTATGCCGGGTAAACCAGTTTCCATGGCGCCGGAGCCCTGCAATCTAGACACACCCCAAGTGCTACAAGGTGTTTCTCCTGCCTTCATGCTGCACTGGAGGTCTCAGGCTGCCACAAGAAGTTTCATGTCATTCCTAGGGCAGTGGTCCACCTGGAGGGGGCATGGAGGGACATGTAGGGGGTGCTGCGGTGAGATCAGCCCTAGCCCCATGGGAGGCTCTGCTCTGCCCCCTGCTCAGTCTGCTGTGCTGAGTGCATGGCTGGTCTTTGGGAACACCGCACGCTGTGTGGCCGGGCGCAGGGCACAGGGAGGCCGTGCCAGAGACCAAGCCCTGGGCACTGCAGGTGGCTGGGAATATTTTCGGCAGCAGGGCACTGAGCCCCGCGCTGGCGCTGTTCCCTGTAGGGTTCGTTCCTGGTTTATCCCGCGGAGGAGGCAGGTCCGGAGCACAAGATCTCGCAGGGGGTCCCCAGGAACAGACCCATCAAGGTGCTTGTCCGAGTTTACATTGTTAAGGTAAGTGGAGCGGGACGTGGAGACCTGGTCAGCTCAGCAGAGCTAGAGAATCCCTGGGGTCTGGAGACCTGGCCAAGGCCGGGCTCTTGGGTCTCAGCCAGTCACTCCATGACCGGCCAGCTGGGCGACCCACGGCAAGGGATCTGGAGTCACCAGGGGCCAGCAGCAGAGCTGGGAGGGAAGAGCCGGGGCCAGAGTCCTTCTGGTCCGACCACACTGCCTGCCAGGGCTGCTGCTTGGTGCAGGGCAGGGGCTGCTCACCCAGTGTGCCAGGCAGACAGCATGGCTAGAGGCTGCCAGGGTTCAAACCAAGCGCCCCCTGCCCCACCCGGCAATGGACCGGGGGAGGGGACAGGGAGAGGATGGAGGGCCCAAGGATGGGGATGAGAACAAGTCACTGGCAGGTCACATGGGGATGGGGTGTTCTCCCTCCCAGCCGGTGCCTCTTTCATGTCCCCTGCAGCCAGGTCCCCTGGGGTATTTTCTAGACCCGGGTTTGGTCTAGCGCCCAGTGTCTCAGGTGCTGGGTTGCTCCAGAGCAGTCTGCGGCCTGTGATGGACACGGTGGCAGCTCTCAATGCCCTGCCTCAAAAACTCCTCTGCTGCAAGGCCCTGTGCTCGCTTTCCCTTGGCCCGGCCGATCGCAGGACGCGTCCCATCGCGGGGCCCGGCTGATCGCAGGACGCGTCCCATCGCGGGGCCCGGCTGATCGCAGGACGCGTCCCATCGCGGGGCCCGGCTGATCGCAGGACGCGTCCCATCGCGGGGCCCGGCTGATCGCAGGACGCGTCCCATCGCGGGGCCCGGCTGATCGCAGGACGCGTCCCATCGCGGGGCCCGGCTGATCGCAGGACGCGTCCCATCGCGGGGCCCGGCTGATCGCAGGACGCGTCCCATCGCGGGGCCCGGCTGATCGCAGGACGCGTCCCATCGCGGGGCCCGGCTGATCGCAGGACGCGTCCCATCGCGGGGCCCGGCTGATCGCAGGACGCGTCCCATCGCGGGGCCCGGCTGATCGCAGGACGCGTCCCATCGCGGGGCCCGGCTGATCGCAGGACGCGTCCCATCGCGGGGCCCGGCTGATCGCAGGACGCGTCCCATCGCGGGGCCCGGCTGATCGCAGGACGCGTCCCATCGCGGGGCCCGGCTGATCGCAGGACGCGTCCCATCGCGGGGCCCGGCTGATCGCAGGACGCGTCCCATCGCGGGGCCCGGCTGATCGCAGGACGCGTCCCATCGCGGGGCCCGGCTGATCGCAGGACGCGTCCCATCGCGGGGCCCGGCTGATCGCAGGACGCGTCCCATCGCGGGGCCCGGCTGATCGCAGGACGCGTCCCATCGCGGGGCCCGGCTGATCGCAGGACGCGTCCCATCGCGGGGCCCGGCTGATCGCAGGACGCGTCCCATCGCGGGGCCCGGCTGATCGCAGGACGCGTCCCATCGCGGGGCCCGGCTGATCGCAGGACGCGTCCCATCGCGGGGCCCGGCTGATCGCAGGACGCGTCCCATCGCGGGGCCCGGCTGATCGCAGGACGCGTCCCATCGCGGGGCCCGGCTGATCGCAGGACGCGTCCCATCGCGGGGCCCGGCTGATCGCAGGACGCGTCCCATCGCGGGGCCCGGCTGATCGCAGGACGCGTCCCATCGCGGGGCCCGGCTGATCGCAGGACGCGTCCCATCGCGGGGCCCGGCTGATCGCAGGACGCGTCCCATCGCGGGGCCCGGCTGATCGCAGGACGCGTCCCATCGCGGGGCCCGGCTGATCGCAGGACGCGTACAGGAGCCTGCCCCAGGAGGGAACAGAGCGGGGGAGAAGGTGCCTGCAGGGCGGGTGCAGACGCTCGTGGCGCTGCCCTGCCCAGGGCCCTGGGGCCGGCCCGGGGCGACGCTGTCCAAGGGGCCGTGGGGCAGAGCTCCACGCACTCCGCTGTGCCCGGAACATGCCCCACTGGACACGCAGGCGGGGGCGGGGTGCTGGCAGCTCCCTGAACTGGACCTGGCCTGGGGAGGG